ACGAAGATAAAAGCCAAGATTAGAGAAGCAGTCCTTGGTAAAATGACATGCACACAACAAAAGGTTGGAATTGTATTTCTGTGGTATCCTTGAACACAGCGTCTTCTCGACATGATGTAAACACACTAACTAGCTGAAGTGTTTGTGGGCAGGTCAGACTCTGTTCGTATTTCGCGGGCAGGCGGGGATTATGCAAATGTGTTACCCAGTGATGTATACCGGTAACAGGCAAAAGATTCGAAAATATGACGACTCGTTAAGGCGATTCAGAATCGACTCTCTCTTTTGAGAGACAATATCTTTATTTATCATGCACTTTTTTGATTAACAACTTTGCAGATTGTTTTCATTTAAGGATAGCTACGTTATAAACTGCAAAAGAGATATTTTTCAAAAACCCATATGACCTGCTCTTTAATGAAACGATGGAGCTGGGCAATGTGACGTAATTGAAAGAATGCCGATTTGGTGACAGAGTTACAATGAGCCTGAAAGGAGAGAGATGAATCGAAAATAACACCACAATAGAAAGTAAAAAAAAAAAAAAAAGCAGCATTTATTTGAAACGGAAACATGTAACATTATAAATGTCTTTACTGTCTCATTTCATCAATTAAATGCATCCTTGCTGATTACAGGTAATCTATAAATAAATAAATAAATTCATTCATTCATTACTGACCCCAAAAGTTTTGAATGGTAATGCAGCTTTTACTCTTCTCTAAGGTCTATTACTGGGTTTATTAATATGAGTTGGCGAGCTAAGTGTGTATCTGTTTGTTTTAATGAGAGAACTGTTATGAACATGTGCTTGTGCGTGAGTGAGAGGAAAACATGACACTTGAATTCATGTTTTCTGTGTGTGTTCAGAGGCGCACACAGTTACAGGAGCAGATGAGTTTCCGCTATAAGGAAAGACTGAAGTGTCAAACTCTCCCCATCAAACAGGAGCAGGTACACAGCTGTAGAAAAGCCCTGCTTATACTTCTACAATATAGTGTCTCCTTTGTCCTTCCTTGTGCAGTATACAAGAAGATAGTCCCATGAGGTGATAATTTAGTCCCCTGTGTACTTGTCTGTTGTTGTTAGTTTCCTGTTTGACGTGCTCATGCATTGGAGACCTAGAGGCATATCTTTCCACACTGTGCTTCGGTGCTCTTTGTTTGCGTTTCCAGTTTGATTGAGACGAATGAGCCGAACGCTTTGCTTATTGTTCTCAGATTGTAGAGGTTCAGATGTGGTTTTGATAGCTTTGTTAGACATTCCTTGTGCATGGGAGGTCTGTGTGTGTGTGTGTGTGTGTTAAGTGTCACTAAAATCACTGGGTTTGATTATCAGCTGTGTTTTTCTGCTTCTAATGGGACACTGTTTGTTCTCTAACACAACGCGCCTATCTGTCATCACTACAGTTGTGTTTGTGTGTAGTAGGTGATTGGATGTTTGGATGGTATTATCAGGTTTTTTAATCTGAGGAGTGTGTGTGAGGTTTTTGTATTTGTGTAATTTTATGTGAACGGGTTTCTCCTCTCTTGTCTCTCTGAAGGCCAGCAGCGGGACTGAGGTCTTGAGGAGCTGCCCTAAGAAAACCATTCTCCTTTCTTCTTCCTCACCCTCATCTTCCTCATTCTCTTCATCGTTTCTTCCACATGCACAGGTGACACTCCCGTCTTCCTGTACTAACCTCAGCATCTCTCACAGGGGCTGGTTATAACAGAACGTCTCCTCTTGCAGTCTCTTGAGATGAGGTTTTTGTAGGTTTTTAGACTTTATGGTGCAGAGCTGTTTGTCTTGATCAATGTATTGATCAGTCCTCCTGGCATATTCATGGCAACGTCCATGTAAATCAGCAATAAAAAAATAATTTTTTTATACTTCAATGGTTTGAACTCCGCAAACAACCACATAGAAAACAAGAATGATAAACTTATTGTTAAATATTGGTAAGCTTCAAATACCTTTTAAGTACATGTAAAGAAAAGAATTGCTGATTTATCAATATTTTTGTGTAAACCATGATACATTTTTTTTTTGCAGAATCTTTAGATGAAAAGTTCAAAAGAAGAACATTTATTTTAAATCGAAATCTTTAAGACATTATAAATGTCTTTAGTGTCATTTTCAATCTTTGATCAATTTAATGAGTTATTAAATGTAGTTTATCTAGATGTTTTCAGAAATTTTTTTTCTTTGTTTTAATATTTTTAGTTGCGGTTAAACACATTTATCATTCAGTCAGGCTTGTCAGTTTTGGAAGTATGTGGTTTTGCACATCCCTCCTACACATGACCATTTTACCCAAACCTGAAATGGAATATTTCGTGCAGTTCTGGAAACCAAAACATTTTATTTTATAGTGTTTGATAAAGTTGAAATTGTATTTTGGTTAGCATCATTTTAATGAAAATACTGGAATGGGCCACCATGCTTTTGTTGCATTTTTGTTTCAGAAATATGGGGCTGTTACCCTTCTAGTTTTGATTGTTAGTTTAGTCTGAGATCTTCTAGCTAATGATAGGGTGGAACTGATTTATGTCTGTTCTCTACAGCATAATGTTAACCAGTCAGAGATAAACAAGTGTATTGGTGGTGGTGATGAAGAGAATGAGATCCAGGACCCTTCAATCTATTACAGGGTAACCATGACAGCTGCATGGGGCTTTTCTTAAAACTTTGCCAGAAAATCTTTTGAAGATTTGTAACTTCCATTTCATCTTCGTGAACAAGCATGCATTTGTGTTTGGAGAACTACAGTTAACTTCCCTAAATTTGTGGAATAAACATGTTATATTTTAACCATGTGTAATTTCAATATATTTATTACCTTTCAGAATTAAAACTACAAAAACTTGCAGCACAAATTCGTAAGTGCTGCAGCAGTGACGTCAAAACCCAGAAGACTAATTCACCATGGATTCCCTCGAGTTTTTCCTATGGGATTTTATATTGGGAGTTTTTTAAGTTAGGAGTAAAACAAGGTCTGTGGTAAATATAAATTGATGATACTTGGACTTTTGCTCTACAACATAAATGTGTACAGTTTACATTGTACAACAATATGTCCAAGTAAAAGTAATTTTTTACCACAGATCATATTTTACTCATGAATTGAAAAACCCCATAGGAAAATTTCAAGGGGACCCGTGACGAATTAGTCATCACAGCTGCAACACTCTACAATATGACATCCAGAGGAGATTTCTAACCCAAGTAATAGTTTCATCAGCCTTTCCGTTTACAGGAAGATAACCTGCCTAATGTGGACAAGCCAGAGCCCATACATATCCCTAGCATTCAAGAGCGAGTGGACACTCTAGTCGCTAGGTTTAAAGGCAAGCCTGACAGGAAGGACAAGCCACAGGTAGAGCAATTCAAGAGAAAACAGCATGCTCTTAAAGGGATAGTACACCCAGAAATGAAAATTCTGTCATAATTTACTCACCCTCAAGTTAATCCAAACCTGTATGACTTTTTGTCTTCTGTTGAAGACAAAATAAGGTATTTTGGTAACTAAACAGTTGCTGGTGGAGTAAATGACATATTTTTAATTTTTGGGTGAACTATCTCTTTAACTAACAGATGATGGACAATATCAGACAGCTTGGTCAAGACCAGGTTAAAGACAATAATGACACCAAGTCTTGAGTCGTGGCCTTGACTTGTCTTGAACATTTGCGCTCTTCCTTTTTCCAAACATATCAATATTAAGTTATATTTTTTTTGTCCTCACATCTTGCTTTGTGAAGGTTATGAAAAAGCCATCACGGTTCTTTATTGAGCAGTGGCTTTTGACCCACAGCCTCAGTCCTGAGCAACCCTTCTACCCTTCTGACCCCCAGCATCAGGTAGCCTTGCCTGAGCATGGAGAGATATGCATGGACGTCTCGTCTGTACCTTAAACACACAGTTCCCCTAACCAATGATGGTTTGAATGCTTTATACGTAACTCTACACAACTAAAAAGGTTTTTCCTAATGGATTTTATTCACAGTATTGCAGAAAACGGTGATATTCCTTGTGCTAACACCATGACTTAAGACTGCATCTCTCTCACAGCAGAGGGAGGTTTTGCGTTCTGATGATCACGTGCCTTTACACATCCCCAGCATTCAGGAGAGAACCGAGAGGTTAGCCTCTCAGTTTAAAGACAAACCAGCAAAGCTAAAGTGAACTCTCAGCACTGGCTGTCCTTGAATACACACTTTTTTCCATGCACAGCCTTAAACCGTTGATGCATTTTAGCAGTTAAGCAGTCTTTTGGCCTTATAACACAGATTTTGCAAAGAAGGAGTGGAAATTGTTTTCAAGGAATATTCTGGCTTAAATAAAGCTCCTATTCATGTTGTGTTCACAGGTAAAACACTCCTTAAGTGTGGTAAAATCACTGTAATATGGCCTCTTGTGGCTTATTGCTTTTATAAATAATCATTTTGGCAGCAGCAATATACACCACCTTTCAAAAGTTTAGGGTTGGTACTTTTTATGTTTTTGAAAGAAGTCTATTGTGCGCACTAAGGCTACATTTGTTTTTTCCCCCCATCAAAATACAGTATAACAGTAATATTGTGAAATATTATTCAAATTTTTCTATTTGAATATATTTTAAAATGTAATTTATTCCTGTGATGGCAAAGCTGAATTTTCAGCATCATTACTCCAGTCTTCAGTGTCACATGATCCTTCAGAAATCATTCTAATATGATGATTTACTGCTCAAGAAATTGTAATTATTATCAGTGTTGAAGTGTGTAAATTGTACACTTGCTGTTGACTTCTAGTTTTCTTTCTGCCTGCCTACCTGCTGTTCCCGTCGTCTTTCCTTTACATCCCTCATCTCTCTCTATGTCTCTCTTTCTGTCTTTACGTCTTTCAAAGTCTAAGAAAAAGACGCCAGACTTCTTCACAGAGCAGTGGTACAGAGCGCGTGATGCCAGCTCTGTTAGCCCTCTGCACTCTCCCAGCTCTTTCCGGCAGGTAGCAGTGATGCATCTAATGACTGCTGTGTTCTTGAGTCGTGTGTGTGCATGGATGTGTTTTCAAACACACTCTGTTAATAGGTTCTGTGAACCTTTTTTTCTGAGGTGTCTCTCTCCAGGCTTACATGTGTGTAACCAGATGTATGTATCAGTATGTGAAGCTGAGAATGTTGAAATACAACAAAAATTGACTAGTACTGTATGTTGCCAAACATTTTAACACAGCTGTAAGCTGGATGTGACCTATATTCATGAGCTGCATAAAGGAAACTAATCTGCATGTTCATGCAACATTGAAATTTCGAATTGAATTTGAATTTAACATGCTTCAAGCGTGATTGTTAAAGCCCAGAGTGAGTTTTTCAGGAGGTGCTGATAAATAGGTTTGCATCTTCAAGTATGTTTAAAAGTGTAATTTTATGTTGAAGGTTTTTATTTTAATTAACAGTTTTCCTTGGTACAACTTGACTGCTTCATTTTGAATTGCTTTGAATTGCTGAATTACACCTTGTGCCTTCTCTCGTCTACACAAATAACCATGCAAGAAAATCTGCATTTAACTATTTTTATTTTTAATTCTTCATTACCCTGAAACACTTACACTACCATTCAAAATTTTGGGTTTAGTAAGATATATGTATTTTATGTTTTGAAAGAAGTCCCTTATGCTCTCCAAGGCTGCTGTTATTTGGCCAAAATCATGATATAGTAATATTGTGAAATATTATTACAATTTAAAATAACAATAATAAAAAATTATAATAATATTTAAATAGAATAATTTCTATTAAATATATATTTTAACTTTTAATTTATTTTTCAGTGATGGCAAAGCTGAATTTTCAGCAGCCAATTCTCCAGTTTTCAGTGTCATATGATCCTTCAGAAATCGTTCTAATGTGCTGATTTGGTGCTTTAGAAACATTTCTTATTATCAATGTTGAAAAATGGTTGTAATGCTTAATATTTTTGTGTAAACCATAATGGATTTTTTTCAGGATCTTTTAATGAATAGAAAGTTCACATAACAATTTATATTTGAAATATACGTCTTTTGTAGCATGTCTTCACTGTCACTTCTGATCAGTTTAATGCATCCTTGCTAAATAAAAGTTTATTTTTATTTTTATAAATGAATCTTACTGACCCCAAACTTCTGAAAGTTAGTGTATGTTTGCGTCTTAAAGTATGTCATGATGTAAAACTGTAATTTTAGGCTGAAAGTTTTATTTCAATTAACAGTTTTCCATGTTACCTGTTTCTCACAACTTGCCTGCCTCATTACGTTTTAGCACTTTGAATTGCTTCGAGCTGAATTACACCTTGTGCCTTCTATCATCTACACAAATAACCATGCAAGAACATCTGAATTTAACTTTTATTTATTTAAATTTTTCATAGTCTTGAAAATTGCCACAGCATCCCACTCAGTTTTCAAACATTTATGCTTTTAAAAAAAACTTTTTTGTTCTGTTCACCACCTGTAGCACTATGTAAAGGTTTACACAGGGGGTGTGAGCTCACTGGCTGAGCAAATAGCCAATCAGCTTCAGGCTAAGGACGACCCCAGGCCCTTGCTTGAGAAAAGGGATTTGGTAAGAATTATGAGTGTTGTGGTATTGACGTACGCAAATGAGACTGCATAGCTCATTTTTGCTTTGGTACATGGCTAACTTGTAGTATTGGATATAACTCTGTGTGATCACAATGCATATACCATGATTCAGTGCACCGATAACTGGATCAATACACAGCAACAACAACAACTGGACAAGAATACCACCTCTACGAGATTCAATATAAGGCTAAAAAGTTGGTCTGTTTCAGCTTTAAAACCATGTACTCTTATACTGCAACAGTTTTTGTTCCAAACGAAAGGATGTGAGAAAGGTTCACTGTGTCGATGCTGAGCTACAGATGAAACTGTGAACTGGATTTTTTTTCTCGTCTGTAAAATACTATAGTATGTTATCGTTATTTGTTGTTTATTTATTTAGAATTGTTTTAGAATTGGTAAATTATTTTTTATAATTTCTAAAATGTTTCTAAATATTTTATTTTTATAATTTCTAAATTTACATAATTTATATAATTTTTTTATTGTTTTATTTTTAAGGATGTAGTGTCAATATAAGTACACTCAGTTGTGTTGATTTACACAGATTTGATTAGTTTTATGTTAGTGTCTTTGGTAACTATTGACTCTGCCATGCACCAGACTTTACACAAGAGCTGGATATTCAGCTCCTCGAAGCACAGAAGTTCATAAATTATTTTGGTGCATGCTGTCTTGCTTGACAGATTTCTAAGCGTTTAGGTGCCACTCCTTGCTCTCATTAAAAAAAAAAGACCTGAACTTGCATGTCTCACTTCTGTGTCTTTCTCTCTGCAGGGTTCCTTGCGGAAGGAGTTCCCTCAGAATATCGGAGGCAGTGATGTGTGTTTTTTCTGTCGGAAGCGCGTCTACGTGATGGAGCGTCTCAGCGCAGAGGGAAAGTTTTTCCATCGCAGCTGCTTCAAGTGTGACTACTGCGGCACCACCCTCCGCCTGTCCTCCTACGCCTTCGATGTTGAGGACGGTATGAAATCCATGTAGAATTAAAATCCCTCCTGATTATATTATTCATACTGTAGCTACTTATAAGTTACCTTTATTTTTTTCTACGTGTAATTTTTTTTATTGTTTATAACTTAGCTATTTTTAGTCTCTTTAATTTCCTGCTTGCTCATAGTTTTCTGTCATGAGATGTGCTTTGTTACCAACACAGTGGGATATTGTTGTTTGAGACAGAGGGACTATTTCTCTTCATCATCAACCATTCTTTATTAACTATGAGCTGTTCTGTAACCTCCCACGTGGCGTAGTTACAGATATGCATTTTAGGCGGAAATCAACCACATTTGTTGCATTTCGCATTTGATAAATCACCTCATTTGGGTTTTCTCAGATTTATGTCTGGAAACAGATGCTAATGGAGTACATTTGTGTGTGTTTTCGCTCTTGTAGGGAAGTTTTACTGTAAACCACACTACTGCTACCGACTTTCTGGTCTGGCACAGAGAAAGCGGCCTGCGCCTGCTGCTCCCGCTCCAGTAAATGCAAAGGTTCTGACTTCTTTAGTCTCTGAGTTTGGGGAAAAATCTGTTTTTATCAGAGAGTTTTTCTTCTGACACTGTATTCCCAGGCTGTACAGTCTATTTGATCATTTTTTTATGATGTAATAACAAAAAAAGGCTAATATATTCAGACATTTTTTGTTGTGGTCCTAGGAGCCCCAGGTGTTGGCGGTAACCCCCAACACAGTGGATGCCCCAGGCCAAGCCATAACTTCTCAGGCCCCTGTGGAACGCCGGCCCTCAGGTACCCGCCTTTCCTCTTTAGGCCCCATTCTGTGCCTCTCTCGGGGAGTAGGGGGCACCCTGCGCTCGTTGCGGCGAGCAATGTCTTGGACCCGCCACCAGGTGGCGCACAATCCCTTAGATTCTCCTTTCCTCCTTGCATACTGTGTTTATCTGCTCTCCTGCTTTACTCTCAACATCCTGCTCAATATTCTCTAGCATGACCCCCTTCCAGCCTCTGAGCTAATCGGGGCACTTCCTGCTCGCACATGCTGTGATATAGAGTGATATTTTGCTTATTTTGTGTATCCCTGATGATGTCACAAATGATTAACTCATTGTAAATCAGTTGGATGTATAGAATATGTATATTATTCCGAGTGGTGCAGCCTAATTAAATTTCTTCTTTTGATTATGAGTAAAACATCCAGGCAAAAAGGCATATCAATTAAGTGTTAACTACTGTTAATTAATTAAATGCATAATGTAGAGCTTTTAAAATGTTTGAAGTGGCTTAGAAATATCTTAAGGTATATCAAGATAACATATTAAGTGTAATAATAATGAACCTTTTTTGCCTGCATGTGTTATGAATATTCTTTATTTATTGCCTGTTTTTGTTACTCTCCTTTCTGTCCTTCCACTGTATATATCTGTGATTAGTGCCTTTAAGTTTGTGATTTGTAATTTCTGATCTGTGCGCCTTTTGTAACGTATTGCTCGTATCAGTGCTTGTGATTGGTGGACTCTGTAAGCTTTACCTTTCCCCTCTCCTATCAGAGCAGCTTGTTGCTGAGCTAGTGCCTGCATCTGTGCCTGTGATTGGTCTACACTCCCATCAGTCCTTGCATCTCTGTCCCAGTGTTTTTTCACCTCTTAATTCTCCTCTGCATAGTACTAACACCACTGCTTGTGGCATCCTTCATGTGTGTATCACTGAGAATGATTTACAATACAAAACTTCCGGTGAGTTCGTGCTACTAGGGTGAAAAATATAAAGTGTAAATGGTTATAGTGATTTTTTGAGAAGTTTTAGCAACATTAATATATTAATCATAGAATTAGTCATAGAAGTTTTAAAGGTTTGAATCTCATAAATAATTTTTTTAGTTACATTTCACCTAAAAATAAGAAAATAGAAATGATGTTTTGCGTAAAGAAAATAAAGTTTATTTTTAGGACTAGGTTAAGATGTTTTGCATTGTGACATTATTTTCTTTTGTTCATTTAATGCAAAAAAATATAATTTGTATTACTGTTATGTCTAAGAAAATAAGAAAATGGCATCATTATTATTGTATCATCTGACCTGTTTATTTATATTTTTTATTGCAGTGCTAAAAGTTATATATAGTTATGGTTTACAGTAGACTTAGACTTTATATAATTGGCCAAAAAACAGACTTCAATTTCTTCATGCAAAATATAATTTCTTTCATACTTTTAGATTGTGGGGTAAATATGGCTGAAAAAAAATATATATATGAAAGGTCTACCCTAGTACAATGTGTGAGAATAAGAATATTATATTATTTATTTATTTTATTTTTAGTATTCCTTTAGCTTTTGGGTGAGAAGATCAAATTAGTCTGAAATCATGCATCAAGTGAACACGACACACTATTTTATTCATGGGGTCTGTCACTATATAATCACTATATGAGGCATATTCGTTATTCAGTGAGCTCTGAATACATCGGTTATAATTCGGTTACGGGTGACGAGTTTTTTCAATCGATTCTTTTTTTATGGATTGCATGCTTCATTCCTCTAACCATTTCTACCATCACAGTCATGTTTTTATTGTTTAATTTCATGCAAAAAATGTTCTCACTGGCTTGATTTGGGGTTTGGGATTTGCTTCACTGAATAGACGTGTTAGTCATACACATGTCCACCGGTTCATTAATGTTAAAAAAGTTCATTAATATTAAAACTAAATTCTTTATCTGACATGCTTTAATAGGAAGGGAAAAAGGCAAGGTAACCATAACTTGTATTTATTATTGAAGGATATATTATTTAAGAGTATTTTACTGACAACAGGGTATTTAAATCTTTTTAAATCTAGAATATATGTGTAGTCATGAAGGCCAAATATTGCTTGTGTAAATAAAGTTAAAGAGTTATCACTTTGACTGTGTTTGTCTTATTTGTCTGAGTGGAAATGAATCCATATGCAATCATTTGTTTCCTTCAAAAACAGCCTTAAAAGAAGGTAGGGTGGGTGGACTGTAGATATGAATTATATGAAATATTTATTATAATAAACTTAGTCTTTATACATCTTTGTATTGACACCTAATGCTTTTAGCTTTAACTAAATCAAGAATTTATGAATTATATTATGCAAAAATTATGCTAATTGCTACCATGGCACCCCTGCATAACACCCGTGAGCCACTTTCTATCTGTTACATATGAACTATTTACATGTATGACATTTTCTCTTTTCTCCTCCTTTTCTGTCCATCACAGTGACAGAGGTGAACGGGGTGACAGAGCCCAGTGTGGCCAAACGTCTTAAAGGGACTCCTGAAAGGATCGAGCTGGAGAACTACCGTCTCTCTATGATGAGAGAGGAGGAGCTGCAGGAGGTGCCCGAGGAGACGCTGGCCGAGCACAACCTCAGCAGTGTGCTGGACAAAGCCACCGACATTGAGGAGGGATCCAGGTATCTCCCTCATCTTTATATCATGTTGGTTACGCTGTTCTAGGGTGTTGCTATGCAGTTTCTATCATGCGAGCTCCACTAATTAATTATCAGTCATTTTCAGCCATTACATAATATAATACATAATATAATGAAATCTGTGCTTGTTCATTAGTATTACTTAGTAGTACTTTACTAATATAGTTCTGCTGTAATTAAAATGTGTGACAAAAGTGTTTGCATTTTCCACATTCTTGTGTTCCCATTTCACATGATAGAAATTTTTTTATTGCAGAAGCCAAAATTAATTTAAATTTGTCATATGGTCATTTTGTTCAAGAAAAGTGACTTGAAGTAACAAGGACTGGCGTACTAGACTATTTTGAAGCTCATAATTTGAGGACACAGTGTTGCCATTACTTTTTACCTTTGTTGATTTTCAAATGTTCTGGCTTGGAATCAAAACTTTTAAAAATGCAGGCAAGTGTCCTAAAGTGAACATGAAATCAAAATAGTTTCTTAATACTCATTTCTGGTCTTATTTAACAAACTTCTTATACAACACCTGTCATTCCATTTTATAACAATCTCCACTAATCTTATTTCAAAATTTAGGTAAGATTTATTTTTCTGTTTTTTTTTTAACGCAATTAATTGTTTTATTTAGCAAAAAAAAAAAAAAAAAAAAAAATCATCTATCTTGACTTTCTATTCATTACAGAACCTCAAAAATATTTCCGCAAAAATATTAAGCAGCACAACTGTTGTCAATATTGATAATAAGAAATGTTTCTTGAGCACTAAATCAGCATTAGAATGATTTCTGAAGGATCATGTGACACTGAAGACGGGAGTAATGACAGCAGAAAATTCAGCTTTCTATTAAAGGCAGAGTAAGTGATTTCTGGTAGCCAATGTTGATATTTGAAATCACCAAAACAAACACGCCCCTACCCCAAAAGGGTCTTGCCCCTATTTTGATAGCTCTGCCCCAAATATACGTACGCAACCCAGGCAACGATTAGTTCTGTGAAACAAAGCAAAACCAATGTTACACCGTGTCTACGGACGTGAGCGGCGCGGCGCAACAAATCCCCGACAGAAAACTGCTGCCGGGTTCTATTTATGACGTGCTGACACAAATTTCAAATGGTTTTCAACGGTCGTTTGATCGCGTCCAGTGTAGGCAGACTTTAGCTGTTGTAGACACGGTGTTACTCACCTACTGAGAAGAAACAAAGCAACCTCGGCGTCCGATCACAGGCCTCCGCTCCTTGAGTTCTCTCCAGCGCTGGAAAGCTGATCCGATATTTACACGGGTCCTACTTCTTGCCTTATCGTTCCGCAGACGTTTTCCTCTTTTGTTTTTTATCCACCATCCCTATCTTTCTGTCGCTCTGCTCGGCTAATGTCCGTCCCATGCACTGAAAGCTCTCTCCTCCACATCACGAGTAGACACGCCCCTTATTGCTGATTGGCTACAAGTTTGTTTTGCGATTCGGCCCGAATCAGTTTTTTAAAGTGTTTTTGAAAAATCACTTACTCTGCCTTTAAAATTTAAAATTACACTTTTCTATTTTAATAGTATTTCACAATATTATGGTCTTTCTGTATTTTTAATTCAATAAATCCAGCCTTGGTGAGATTAAGAGACAAGAGACTTCTTTCAAAAACACTTAAAAATCGTACCGACCCCAAACCTTTGAACTGTGGTGTTGATAACTTGCTTTGAGTGTTTATTTGGGACTAAAAAGAGCAACCAGGGGTCATTTGGCGATTTTTACACACTTATCCATCCCTGCAGCAGCTCAGAGTCTGATATGGAGGAAGAGGATGAAGAACCGGAAGCGGCCGGCCCGTCCGATCTGGGTGGGGTTCCCTGGAAAGAGGCGGTGGAGCTCCACGCTAAACTAAAAGGAGAAAGCGACCCTGGCGCAGCAGAAGACGACGATGGCCTTCATGATGGAGATGGAGAGATGGACGAGGATGAAGAGGAGGAAGATGAAGACGAGGAGGAGGAGGAGGAAGAAGAGGAATCGAGTGATGGTAAGCATCGCCTCAGTGCTGGTGGCTTCATTGTGCTTGTGAGGGTGATCAAAGTGTCTCGACACAATGAATAATGGATGTAGATGGATGTCCTGGACAGAATGGCCTGTTTGATGGCGGTTCATTTGATTTTAGAAGGCAAACTTGAAGTAGATTATATTCTTTTTCTTTTTAGAAGATCATTTTAAAGGAATAGAAAGACTGTAATGTGTTTGCTCTGTAGAGTCTCAGTTCCTCTGTCCACTTCATATCATCTTTATGTATGTGGCGTCTAGCTCCCCTGATTAGATATTATACGTTCACCAGGGTTGTCTGCTGTCTCATATTCACAGAGAACTTCTGAAATTACGTTTTCTCTTTGAGTAAGACTTTTTCTGATGAAAAATGTAAGACAAAAGATTTCCCAAGAGATTGCTCTAACCCAAGAGCTTCAGCCCCTGCCCTAATATATAATTTTTTTTACACTGATATGTCTCATCAGTGAGACGCTGAATCATTCAGCGATTCTAAACTTGTTTATACTAATGTGCTACTGTTACTCGCCTTTTCAACCTTCTGCATTTTCAGATGTTTGCGGCATCTCTGGCAAATCAACTAGTTTTCCTTTTCCAACCCTGTGTCTTGTATTTCTCCTTTATAAAAAAGAAAATTTTATAACTTTCTTTGACACAAAACTATTTTACTGGGTGAAATCTAACAAAAAGCTAAGGAAAAAAATTTGTGAAGAACCTTTGAAATTTTGACATTTTTTAATTATGGAACACCTGTCACCCAATCAGAATCACGGACTGTACAATGCCATGGTGTAGTATTTTTTAAACAACAGTATATAGTACTTTTTGGTACTTGTATTATACTGTTATATTAAATCATTCCAAAGATTTGCCATTTTTTGTCAGTAAATTTTTTTAATTCGATAAAATAAATAAATATTCACCAAAATAATTAAATGACCCAAATTATTCAATCAGTATACTGCCAAAATCCAAAAGTCTATACTGTAGCTGATACTACTGTTGAAGTCCTCAGTACTTTGGTCTCTGAATGTTATTGGAGGTTTCTCGTTCTGTGTGTCATCCTGTACTGTGATGATATAGTCAC